CAAGAAGGGTTTATTTCAAGAATGAAAGGTTGACAGTTAAGCATATAAATTAATACATAACACACTAACAGACTAAAAGAGAACCTCGCTAGATGTAGAAAAGTGTTTGATAAAATTCACCATCCATTTAGCAAACTAAAAATTTTAGGGAAATTTTATCGAATATAGTGCATCTACCCCAAACCTTCAGGAAATATCATACATAATAATGAAAAGTTAAAGCTTTTCCTTTCTGCTCAGGAAAAAGACAAAGATGCCTGTGATTTCTCTATTCAACATTGCCCTGGATGTCCTATCCAACATAAGACAGCAAAGAAAAAAAAGAGAGGGGAGGGGAAAGATTGGAAAGGAAGAAACAAAGCTGTCATTATTCCCAGATATCACTGCATATGTGAAAAATCCAAAAGATCTATAAAGAAGCTATTTTAATTAGTAAGAGGGCTTAGCAAGGTCTCTGAATTTAAAAGTGATATGTAAAAAATGACTTATATATACCAGCACCAAACAATTAGACAGTCAAAATTTAAGAAAGAGGCCATTTACAATAGTATTAAAAATTAAGTGGCACCTAAGGCTAAAGCAGACAAAATCTTGCAAGTCTTCTGTAAAGACAATAATATAAATTTACTTAGAGGCAATTAAAGTAGACCTAAATAAATGGAAAGACAATCTATTAATAGATTTAAAGATTATTCAATATTGTATTGTCAGTTCTTCTTATATTGATCAATAGACTCAATGTTATTCTAATCAAAATCCCAAAAGTATTTTTGTAGAACATAACATTTTACATTTTATATTGAGGCACAAAGGGCCAAGAATAGTAAAGCGCTCCTAAGAGAGGGGCAAAACTAGAAGACTTGCTTTACCAGATTTCAAGCCCCCTCTATCACACTATGCAGAAAAATGAATTCCTGGTGCAACTGTGAAAGATATAACTACAAGACTTACAGAAAATAATATCCAAGAATATCTATACAACTGCAAAGTCAGGAAGAATTTCTCAATCAATAAATAGCATGCACCAAGCAGAAAGGAAAAGACTGATCAATTGAACTACCCAAATATTAAAGACTTTTTGTATATCAAAATATGCCAAAAGGAGGAGCCAAGAAATGGAAAATATACACGTGGCACAAACAAGTGACAGAACTGGTGCCGAAGGTATTAAGAGCTCAGAGAAACCAAGAGAAAGAAGACTTGAATAGATACTTCACAAAAGAAATCCAAATGGACATTAAACATATGTAAGGTGATTAGTAATCAAGAAAATGCAAATTCAGACCTCAATAAGAGATTACTATCATCCACCAGGTGAACTACAATTGAAAAGTTGGACAATATCAAGTGTGGTGAGACTACAGAACGAGAACTCTCATCTTGCTGATGGGATATATATAAATGAAATGTGCACACACGCATCTCTGCACATTCATAAGTATGTTCATAGTGGCATTATTTGTAATACCCATACTGGAAAACATAATTATTAGAATAAATAACATATATTGTGTATCTTTACACAATAAAATTCTACATAGTATACTACAGCTACACAATATACATGATTCATTTATATAAACATTTTGAACATTTATATAAAGCTCAAAAATTGGCAAGACTAAATATTATCATTTAGAAATATATACATAAGCATTTACTGAAACTTATTTGGGGGCATTATATTTGATTAAATTTTGTAGATCTCAATGTTTATTAAAAATGATGTGTATTCTCTTGTTTTAAAGGATTTTTCTATACCTATAAATGCAATATACAAATATATATGCATATATAAATGCAATAAGGATATTTATCTATGCACACAATGCATCAATGTTGTTGTCTGCTTTATCTATCAATCTGAGAAAAATTTACATTAAAAAAATTCCCATTATAATTGTGGATGTCAGTTTTTCCTTTTAATTCTTTATTTTTGCTTTATATTTTTCCAGACTATGTAGTTAGTTGCATACATTTTCATGACTGTAATATTTTCCTACTGAATTTTTCTTTATGACTCCATAAGATGGCCCTATTCATGTCCTTGTTAATGCTATTCTATTTAAAGAATCCTTTTGATAATTCATGTCGCTACATAGTTTTTTGTTGGCATTACTTAGAATTTGCCTGGTATGCTTGTCTCTTTATTTTCCCCCATTTTAGTTGCTTAGTTTTAACTGTTTTTTAATATGTTCATTTTTAACTGTCTTGGTAATTATGGGCTGGCCAATTAATGAGGTAGCCATGTGCTCAGATTATGTAAGAGGTGGTTAAATTAGGTTATTATCCAGTAAGCTAGTCTGGACCATCAGCAAATTTCATTCTGAAGCTGTCTCCAGAAAATCATCTCTCTGGGCCCCGGAGCATCTTCATTTCAAACCAGGATTTTGTTGATGTAAGGCAAGCTACTTTGTTCCCCTATTCTTGTCAAAACAAAGTTTCAGTTTTTTATCTTAGAAAATTGGTCATTTTCAGGTTAAAAATTTTAAACAGATGCCATTATTTATGTTTATTTTTAAATGTGATTTCTGACTTGTGACCATTGGGGTTTTTTTTCTTCATTTTCTTATTAAAAGCCTCAAAGAAACATTTTCAAGCAAAATTTTCAGTTTGTGGGTTGGAAACTTTGTAAATGAGAGGGTTTACTGGAATTGGGGAAAATGATTCAACTGAAAGAAGAGGGAGGTTGGATTAGAGTTGTGACTGGACTGGGGGTGGGGCTGGCCAAATTAGAATTTTGATGAAACATATAAAGCCTGATAGTCACATGACATCACTTAGTGACTTCATTTAGTGATTCTTTCCTGAAAAGAAATCATCTTTCTGGGTCTTGGCGTATCTTCATGTCAAACCTGGATTTCAGACTAGCAGAATGTAAATTACTTTTTTCTCCTTTAAAATATAAAAGAGATTAAAGCAACAACTTTTTACATCAAAATGTGATTCTTTTTCCTCTTAAAAATCATTCATTCACTCACTCACTCATTCATCCATTTATCCATTCATTCATTTACTCATTTGGAAAAAAACTGTGTGTACCTCTTGGTGCCAGACAGTTTTAGGTGCTTGGCTGACATCACTGATATAAACAAAGATTCTGCCCTTGTAGAATTTATATCCTACATGGAATAGGTAGATAAAGAAATAATACACATAACTAAATTATACAGGATCATGGAAGATGATACATGCTATGTAAAAAAGAAAAGCATAGCAGAATAAGGGAGATAAGGACTACAGATATTGGGGGACCAAAAGGGAGGATGGTTGCAATTTTAAACAGGGCTGTCACGGTTGGGTGACCTCATTTAAACATAGACCTGAATAAGACAAGTAAGAGTGCTCTTGGCCAAGGAAATAGCTAATGCAAGGGCCCTAAGGCAAGAGCTATGATCAAATAACACCAGGAAGGCATGAGCAAGAAAGGAAATAAATTAGGTAGGGGAGAGTCTTGTAGGTCATTGTGAGCACTTTTTATTTTTACTGTGAGAGAAACAGGGAGCCAATGCCTATTGTCTAACTAGATCCCCTTTTCTCCCAATCCCATCCAACTGTATTGATAATTTTAAAAAATTATTGCCGATCTGATACTATAATGCAGTAATTCATTATTGGTTTACTTTCATTTTCCTAATAGGGAGGTTGCATGTATTTTATATTTATTGTTTCTTTGGATCTTTGGAATTGCTTTCTCTGAATGGCTGGTTTATATTCTGTGCCATTTTTTTTTTATTGGGTTGTTTGTATTTTGTTATGCGTAGTAGTAACCTTTTATATGTTATAGGCATTACAAAATTTACCTGTTCATCTAGCATTTATCTTTTGACTTTGTTTTGAGCATCTTTGGCAATAAAATTAAAATTTTGTAAAGATAAATTTTTACAATTTCTTCCTTTATAGCTCTTAGGTGTTCTGCCTTGCTCAAAGGATCTTTACAAACTCTAGGTTGTACAACTAGTCTCTTAAGTTTTCCTCTTAGATTTTAAGGTTTCTTTTTTCCTTTTGGATATTTAACTCAGCTAGCGGTGGAAGCTTTGAAGCTGGAACTCCTATATGGTGCTACAAGAATAGTCGATTTTGCAAACATAGTTATTATATAAAACATCCTTTTCACATTGAATTAAAATCCTACCTTTGTCATATTAAAATGAAGGAGCATTTTTTAAGGTTAAGATATATTACATCATATCCAAAACCTGTTAAGAGCGATCTAGAAGGGATGGATTCATAGATTATGAGATATAGGATATATAGCAGGATGCCAGTTACTAAGAAGGTTGGGGGGATTGGGACCCAGACCACAAGGGAGAGGACTTAGGTCACCTCATCTCTACCAACCCATAGAAAAGCTGAGGGTATGGCCACAGTCACAGGCAGCTTGCTAGATCTGCTGAAGGCACATGAGAAATCCTTATTTAAGAGCTTTTATTTTCCCAGAGAAGTCAGAAGATCATCCACTCCTTAGGAAGAGGATGAGAAGGGAAAAGAGGTGGGAAGAGGTGTGTAGATTTGAAGAAAGAGGGGAATGTGGGAAATCCTATCGTTGCAGATTTGTGCCAGCAAAGATAGCAGATAAGGTGAATTTTAAGTTTTTAGCAAACTTTTAGTTTCTTTTGCTAATCTTTTCAAACCATTTAAGTCAAAAGCTTTTCGTTTCATTTATTAGTACTTTAAAATCACTTAAGGAAAAACTTTTTCGTTTGTTTTCTAGTTAATACTTTCAGACCATTTAAGTCAAAGCTTTTCATTTTGTAGGCTGATCATATTGTATGTTGGTGTTAATAAAATTACAGGGGTGATTATTTAATCATGGTGATCCAAAGATTAGGTGGTGGGCTAAGAGCTAAATGAATCAGGGTGACTGACTCAGGGCTGATAAGGGCAGTTGGAACATCAAAACCAGGGGTATTTTCTATAATTCTGTCCCCACCTTGCCATTGTTACTTCATTCCTCCACCTCAGTGTATCAGCCATTCATTCATTCAACAAATACTTACTCAGCACCTATTATGTGCCAGGCACTGTTCTATATGCAGAGGATACACCAGTGAACAAGAGAGACAAGGTTCCTGCTTTCCTGGAACTTACGTTCTAATACAGGAAGATAGACAATAATAATAAAAATAATATTAATAATATTAATAGCTAACATTAATTTAGCAACTACTGTTTGCTGAGACTGTCTTAAACACTTTACAAGTATTCGTTCATTTAAGCCTTATCAAAACAATAAGAGGTGAAGACTAGAATTATCCCCATTTTATGCAATGGACACTTGAGGGCACAAAAAGGAAAAATAACTTTCCCTTTAGGGCAAGGTTCAACAGCCAGGAAAAGGCACACCTGGAATTTAGCACCAAGACAGGCTATAGATCCCTTTCTCTGAATGACTTCTGTGCTGTCTCTCAGGCAAGAAACAATAAACAGAATAAATTTGGTAGAGTTCAGTACTACAAAAAATAAAACAGGGCGACACGATGGTATTTGCACGGCAGGGTGTGGGGGAGAAAATGAAGATGTCAGGGAAAGCTTCACTGATGCAGTGACATTTGAGCTGAGTGAGGCTTAAAGGAGGTTAACACAGTTATCTTGAGGCACAGGAAACAGAGATAACCTGGTGCAAAGGAATCTTATCCTTGTTTGTGAAACAGAAATGCCCTGCTGGCTGTGGCTAGAGTTTAATATGTAAGAGAGTGTCTGATTAAAAGCGAAGTCAGGGAGATAGGCAGGAACCAGACCCCATGGGGTCTCAGGTCACATTAAGGAATTTGACTTTTATTCTAAGTGCAGTGGGTTTTTATGCAGGAGAGTAACACTCCCCGATTCATAATTTTCAAAGATCACTCTCATTGCTGTATGCAAAATTAACTGTATGTAGGGCCAAAGTGGAAGCAGGAAGATCCATTAGGGAGCAATTACAATGCAGGTGAAAAATCCTGGTGGCTTGAACTAGGGTAGTGGCAGTGGAATGAAATTTAGGGTATTATTTTGAAAGTAAAATTGGCAAGTCTTGCAAATAAACTAAATGTGAAGAGTAAAGAAAAAGGAATTTAATTAGGAGCCTTGAGGTTTTGGTTTAATAACTCGTACATGGTAGTGTCCTTTACTGAGATGTACAAAACTAGGGGAGAAATACCTTCCATAAGAAAAATTAAGATCTTCCTTTTGAACTTTATAAGGGAAGGGGCTCTTTCTACTTTTCTAAAAAAAAAAAAAAAATTTTTTTATAAGTTTCAAAGAAAGAGTTCTGAAAATAAAGCTTTTTAATGTTCAACTTTATGAGCTCTTTACATTTGAAACCAAGTTGGAGGAGCTGAATTTTCATTTGTTTAATAAATATTTATTGAGCATCTACTGTGGCCAAAGACCACGTGATGAGATTCCGAGAGGGACTGAAAAAACAAGATCCCTGCTCCCAGTGCCTTTTGGGAAAGGGAGGAAGGACGATAGGTGATTTTTCCCCCCGTTCGTTGTCTTATTAAAAGTTCACCTAACGCTTGAGTAGCCATCTTATAACTGCATCTCGTGCTTCTGGCAGTTGGGCCCACCGTTCTAAACGCTCATAATCGGGTTGATAAATGAATCTCTAAATAGTGACATCTCCCCTCCCACTAGAACTTAGGCTTTTTTAAAAAATAGAAGTTTTAACAAACAATACGAATACAACCTTTGCTTTGAAGACTAATATTTTTGCAGCAATGGTACCTTTATAAAGATCGTGGTTGCCCCCGTACATATTTGTTCTTTCTTCATATCCAATTAAATGAAAACACTAGTTTTTCCGTAGCCCAGCTCTCTAGGCTTGTTGGGTCTAGCTCAGGAGAGAGGAAGCAGGCGCCGTTGGCTTTAAACAGTTTGGTGTAATCCTTCTCTACGCTCTCTCTCGCTAGCCGGGGACGTGGTGTCGGCTACCCGGGGCTTTCCGTCCACGCAGCACCGGAATGAAGGAGTCTGGGAGGGGGTCGGGGAAGGGAAAGACGGAGGAGACATTAAGTAATTGGTTCTTGAAGGTATAAAATGATGTTTAGGGTCTACTCTAAAGCACTGATTTCAAATGCCCGCCCCCTGGGCCGTTTCGGCCCCGCCCCTTGTTGTCGTCACGCCGACTTCCACCTTGCCTGCTGCGGATTGGTCTCTGCCTCGGCCTCTGAAGTGCGGCGAAAGAGCTAGGGTTTTGCTTCCGGGTCTTGGGCCCTGGCCCTGGGCGCAGAGGTTTCTGGGAGGTAAGAGTCGTAATGGTGTCTGTATGATTTCCGGAGGCTGTCGCCTTAGACCTCGGCCGACGTGAGCGGCAGGAGGGTAGCAGATTGTCTCTCTTGTCCGAGGGGGGCGGGGAAGGGCGGCTGGGGTCGGAGTCGACGATAGAGAACCGGACGCGGGCGGTGGAGGCCCCGGAGCGGCGGGCGGTGGTAGAGCCCAGCGAGTCCCCGGCCGGCCGCGAAGCGCGGAGCGTGGAGGCAGCTTTGCAGGCGGCGTTAAACAGGGTTCACACCCCTCCATCCCCCAAACCCCCTGCGAGTCGGGCCTTTGGGTGAAGAGTCAGCGAGTTTCTGGTAACAGCCCGAAGGCGAGCCCCAGGGAGGCGGGAGTGATAAAAATCCGGGAGTATGTGGGAGGCGGCGGCGGCGCCCCCAGCGACAGGAAACCCAAGTTTCTCCCCCTGCATGGACCCTTTTTCCCTTTTTGAAAAATCTGGAGAAGTATACCAGTTCCCCCAGCTTACCCGCACTCTTGCTTTTCGGACGCTTAACGGGACTTCAGTCGCCACATCTGCTAGGCACTACTCTTGGCAGCCCCAAACCAAAAGTAACATAAGGAATGGGTCCCTGAGTTTTGCTTATCAGAATCCTTTGGGGGTGAGTTTCCTGTCTTGAGCATGGTAACCTACAAAAGATCTGATTTACATTATAATGATTGCTATAAAAGAAAATTGGACCAACAGAAGGCTGTTGGAGAATTTTGCACATGTAGCTGTCATTAAAGTTTAGCACACTTTTCTCCAGGACACTCAGTATTTGTCAGTGATTTTAAAACAACTTTTGTTTTTGTAGTTACTAGCCTATTTTCTGTTGTATGAAATTTAGATAAAATGCAAACCTTAGGGCGTCTGGTGGAGTAGGGTTAAATTAAGAATTTTTAAAACTCAGTCATGGCAGTACTAAATTTTACAGGGCCTTGACATTTCAGTTCTCATAATAATCCTGTGAGGGACATTGCCCATTCCACAGAAACTTAAGCTGGATGACTTGTCTGGGGCCACAGAGACAGAAGGAGAACAGGAACACAAACTCAGATCTTCATGAGAGAATTTTTTGCATGAATTAAGAGCTGCCTAAGAACCTATATTCCTTATGTACCTTGGGCTTCATTATTTGTTTTCTTTAGAACTTTTGTTTGAGGTTATTTAAGTAATTTTGGAGAATGAGTTTTGGAAATTATTTCACAAGGATCAATATTTATTAATACTTTATGAAATGAGGGTTTGTCATATTGGAAATAACTTGATACAGTTTTTCTTTAAAGCATAAAAGATGACAACAGCAGCTAGGCCAACTTTTGAACCTGCGAGAGGTGGGAGAGGAAAAGGAGAAGGTGATTTGAGCCAACTCTCAAAGCAATATTCAAGTAGAGACCTACCTTCTCATACAAAGATAAAATATAGGTAATGAAGACTTTTTACTTTCTTGTTCAGAAGACAAGACTAAGAAATCTGTTAAATGGCATGCTCGTGAGATTGTAGCATGTTTGGGGCCGCCCAAACAGTGATATATCGTTGAAGTTTCTGTTTTCATAGGAGTAGAATGCAGTAGAGTGTTTGACATTAAAATTGTGTTCTTTATAAAACTCTTTCATATATTACTTATGCAGAAATTCCTGTTAACTGAGAATTTCCATATGTATATGGCACAATAATAATGACTCAGAAGGCCCGTGCACCATCAGCACTAATCAATATGAGATTAAAAGTGTCGTAGTAAAGAGCCCTGAGTTGACGAACTAACAAAAAGTAAAGACATTTTAATTAATCTGCAGCCTTATGGGAAAATGTGTGACTCAGTTTGGGCTCTCTGAAATATTGGAAACATTACAAGAATGCCTGTTAATAACCTTCAGATTAGGGGAATGATCTTGTTTAGTTCCATGAACCTTGAGGGACTAAAGGACAGAGTTGCTTTTTGTGAATTGTCTTCCATTGTTACAGCCATGTATTTTCTTAGTAACATTTTTGCCTATTTTTTTCTACTTTAGACAAACTACTCAGGATGCTCCTGAAGAGGTTCGCAACCGTGACTTCAGGAGAGAGCTGGAAGAGAGAGAGCGAGCTGCTGCAAGAGAAAAAAATAGAGATCGTCCAACACGAGGTACCAACACTGCCCCTAGACATTTGTCTCATGAAATCATGTTGACAACAGTTTTTTCGTGTGCTAATTGGAACTGATTAATATTTTTGTTTGTTTGCTTTAAAATGGTGTAAACAATTTATTGTTTGCTTTAAGATATTGGTAACACTTTCTTAAGTGATTAGATTAGAGGTGATAACAAGGTTGAATCCAGTTCCATCTCTCTGCTGCTGTAGTAGAAGGAACAGGATGATCTTGGCATATCTGGCAGCTCTTGTTTCAGTTTACATAAAGGTGTTTTTTTGGTTTTGTTTTTTAAGATTTATTTATTTATTTTAGTGAGAGCACGAGCGCACATGTGCCCATGAGCAGGGTGGGAGGGCCAGAGAGCAGAGGGAGAATCTCAAGCAGACTCCACACCAAGCCCAGAGCCTGATGCTGCTTTGTGGGCCTTGATCCCAGGACCCTGAGATCATGACCTGAGCCGAAATCAACAGTGGACGCTCAACCAACTGAGCCACCCAGGCACCCCTAAAGGTTTTGACTGTTCACAGCAACCAGACTTTTTGAGGCCGTGCATTTTCTGTCTATGAGGGTCTCCAGTTTTTGTCACTGGCTTTTGGAAGGCATCGAGGGGCATAAGTTATAATATCTTTTTTATATTTTCAGTATATATGAACTCTTCCCTAAATTTCCTCAGAGAGGCTATGGTTCCCATATTAAAATCAATGCTTTCATTAATTCATTGAACAAATGTTGACCAAGGGCAAATGCCAGGCACTGTGGTTCCTGTCTGTGCTATCTTGATGGTTATAATCTAAGCTTTTTGTCCCCACAGGTCCCTAAAATGTTACAAGAAACACAGTGTTTCTTTTAGTAAGCTAAATTATGTTTGTTTTCCCCAGAGCATACAACTTCCTCATCAGTGTCAAAGAAGCCTCGGTTAGACCAGATTCCTGCTGCCAACCTTGATGCAGATGATCCTCTAACAGATGTATGTTTTATTTCCTTTGTTGATCTCCACATAGTAATTCATTTATTATGTTTTCTGAAATGCTTGTTTTATTTTTTGGCTTTAAGAAGTGGCCTATATTTTTACTTACTGTTATTCAAATGTAGTCCTGACTTCAATGCTAAGCTTTATGGTTGATTTTTAAAGAAAAAGTATTATTATTATTTTGTTTAAAGATTTTATTTATTTATTTGAGAGAGAGACACAGCGAGAGAGGGAACACAAGCGGTGGGAGTGGGAGAGGGAGAAGCAGGCTTCCTGCTGAGCAGGGAGCCCGATGAGGGGCTCAATCCCAGGACCCTGGGATCATGACCTGAGCCGAAGGCAGACGCCCAACGACTGAGCCACCCAGGCGCCCAAAGCAAAAGTATTATTAATCACAAGAGTAATTAAATTTTAAGAGCAAGTTTGATCTCTGGAGAACCAAATAAGAAAGTGATCTATTAAAATATGAGCTTCCAAAAAAAATAATTCTCCATACTAAACCCTGGAGGTTGACCATGTTCTGTACCTCCAGGGGGCGTTCTTCATTCTAGGGTCTTTATCAGTAATAGCACCCCCAAGAGCTGAATTCAGAGGCCTTTCCACATTAGATACCAAACATGCCCCCTCTAGGTGTGCAACTCAACTTATTGGTTCCTTCTGCTAGGAAGGGGGCAGTGTTTTAAGTGGAAGTTCTTTTATGATTAGTGCTTCAGTTAACATTAAAATTCAGTGGGGCCCTACGGTCTATAATTAACTTGCAATTTTGTACATTCAGTGGGAAAACGTGACTGGCCTTTCATCAGTTGCATCTAAGTTTATATATCAGCAATTAATTCCAGAGTTGACAGATTGAATTAAATAATTAGCTCAGTAATTAAAGGGAGCCCAATTTTAAATGGTATTTAATATTGTTTGAAATTTTTCTGAGAATGTAGCACCCTTTTTTTGTACTTTTGATTATCCTTACTTCCTTGATTAAAAGTTGTCTTGAGCTAGTGAAATTATTTGACTCTTAGGGTGATACACTGTATATGTATGTACTGTGTGTATCAGTGAAAAGTGTTCCTTGTCTCATTGTAGAAATATTTTCATATGAAATCCCCTTTTGACTATGTAAATTTGAAGAATACTTTGTTACACTTTTTGCTGTTACAATCTCTCAAGCATCTCAGGGACATTTTAGTAAGAATTCTGTAAGCTTGTTTGTGGGGTTTCATTTTACGTTTTAGTTGATGGTTGACTTTAATCGTATTTAGGTGCATTTATGTTTCCCAGTGGGAAAATTAATCCTGCCCCAAAGATATGGTAAGTGTAATTTTCATGGGAAAAATAATGAATAACATGCATTTTCTCCTGGGCTATCATCATTCTTTTTTAGGAGGAAGATGAAGATGAAGATTTTGAAGAGGAGAGTGATGATGATGATACTGCAGCTCTTCTTGCAGAACTAGAAAAAATTAAAAAAGAAAGAGCTGAAGAGCAGGCCAGGAAGGTAAAATCAAAATATTAAATATTTGCATCTTATCGCCTATTCTAAACTAGGAATATTTTTTAATTTAAGTAATACATCTTATATTAGAAATCGTCCTTGCCATATCTAGATATTACAGCACCTATAGATCTACAAGTCTGATTATTTTTGCGACATCCTGATTTTCCTGGTTATGTTAGAAATTCTTTCCAAATAGTTCAGGCATGCTTCATAGTGCTTATCAATTTGTTTTTCATTCACTTGTTCATGTGTTCAACAGACATTTAATCATTGTTCATTAAGTGTCAGAAGAATTAAAGATGAGTATGATATAATCATGGTCTGCGAAGAACCCAAGGATATAATGAGACCATCTTTATGTCTTTGTCTCCTGCTTCCAACCTTCTTTCCAGGCATTTGTTGCAGTCTGTCAATAGATTTTATATAGCCTAGGGTAATTTACCTAGCCAGTCTCTTCGTTTATACAATGGAAGAAAAGAATGTCTATCTCAAAAAGAGTTACAGGGATTACATAGGATCCATAGTACATACCTTTAAACTTTGGATGAACAAGAGCAGGTCAGAACAGTAGAGATTCATAAACCAGTGCTAAAGGAGTTTGGACTCTATCTTGAAGGCCATGAAGAGCTAGTTGATTTCAGGAGGAGTATGATAAGATTGGATATGCATTTTATTTTGGGGTTTTTTTTCATTATGAAATATTTCAGTAATACAGAAAAATATGAATAATAAATTTAATAGTCATCTACTTGGATATGCATTTTAGAAAGATTACTCTGGCAGAAGTATGGAGGTTGGATTGGGAAAACTGTTTGAGAAGGCTGTTCCAATAATCCTCAGATGCAATTAAGGTAATTCTGCATAATAGGAATTAGAATTGAGAGAAGTAAATAGATGCTGATGGAGCTGTCAAGGAGGTAAAACTGATCAGATAAAGTGACTGATTAGATGTGGCAGCAAAGATGACCCCCAATTCCTAGGTAGATGTTGCTGACATTCCTTAAGGCCGGGGGGGAGATGGCAGAAGGGTGCACATGTTTAGATGGAGAGAAAAGAGATGATGAGCTCTGTTTGGAACATGTTGAATTTAACACATTATGAGATATTCAGATGGAGATGTCTGTGTCCACTTTCAAACAGAAGAGCTCGGCTTTTTTTATGAGCTTCTGTGTTTTCATTTGAACCAAGAATTGTTCTATTTAAAGAGTGGAAAAAGACTGACATGGGTTCATGTGAGGAGTCTTGGGAAGTAGAGGATTGCTGGAACTCAAATTGGAAGAAGAATATTTTAAATATAATTCCCATCGAAGTTTGGCATAGGATAGCGTAATTCCCATAATAGCTTCTACTTGTTCTAATTGTTCCTATCTAATTAAAAATCAATTATAAGAACTGTCCTAATTTCACTTGCACACCACTAGAGGGCAGTTGTTCTATTCCTGATTCTTTTGGCTTGCCTAATAGCTGTGGATTCATAAGGGACAAGCAGTTCAGGTGCATTTGGTTGACCCTTAGGAGGATAAGCATTTTAGACAAAAGGTCGTGGAATTTTGTAAGATTACTCTCTTTGTACAAAAATGTATTGGTGTTTCTAGGGGTTGAAGGATAGTTTTACTTTTGTTCTTATTGCCCATCTGGTTTTCTAGTGGCTCATTTTGAGGTGTCCCAAAATATTTTCGACCAGTCAGCCTATGTCAGGGGCTAGGAAGCTTTCTGTAAAGGGCCAGATGGTAAATGTCTCGGGATATTTCAGGTTTACAGACCATGCTGTCTCTTGTGCGGCTTGTCAGCTATGCTCGCTGTAGCACAGAAGCAGCTGTAGACAATACAGAAATGAATGAGTGTGACTATCCGTTCCATTAAGATTTTATTAACAAAAACGGGGTGGTTTGGGTTTGATCTGCAGGCTGTCTGATTATTAGTCTATGTTTGTGAACCATAATGTGCCTGGTACTTTTTTTTTTTATTAAAGAATTTATTTGTTTAATTGACAGAGACAGCGAGAGAGTTAACACAAGCAGGGGGAGTGGGAGAGGGAGAAGCAGGCTTCCCGCCGAGCAGGGAGCCCGATGCGGGGCTCAATCCCAGGACCCTGGGATCATGACCTAAGCTGAAGGCAGTCACTTAACCAACTGCGCCACCCAGGCGCCCCATTGCCTGGTACTTGAATATGGAAAGAGTTGGCACCTTTTTTTTCCAGTGCTGTGCGTGGCAGGCAGCCAGGACTCTAAAGGAAATAATATTGCAAATATAAAATGGCCAGAACTTTATTATATCACACACGTTATTATTATAAGTTGGATACATTGTATATTTGAGCTTTTATTTTTCTAGCATCTCAGAGAAATGTCTTTTCACTTTCAACATCAATATAAATTGTTAAAAATACAGTTTTTAGAAAGCTATCTATTCTTAATCTGTAATGGATGTTCCTGATTTTGTTTGCTTAAGGTCTGAGCAGTGACCTGAAGGAATTTCCCTGTTTATTTCCCTGAGCATTGCATCTTCTCACTTCCCAGTTATTTGGCCTCTTAAAAATGAAATCTGTTGTTCACCTTTGGATATTAAAATGAAATATCATTAACTCTGTGGAAAGTTAGGTTATTTTTCTAAGTGATCTAAAACGATTAGGTTCATTTTATTTATTTATTTATTTATTTATTTTATTTTTTTTAAAGATTTTATTTATCTATTTGAGAGAGAGAATGAGAGAGAGCACGAGAGGGAGGGGGATCAGAGGGAGAAGCAGACCCCCCGCCGAGCAGGGAGCCTGATGCGGGACTCAATCCCGGGACTCCAGGACCACGACCTGAACCGAAGGCAGTCACCCAACCAACTGAGCCACCCAAGCGCCCTTATTTATTTGAGAGAGAAAGAGAGAGAGTATGAGTGGGGTCGAGGGAATGACAGAGGGAGAGGGGGAGAATCCCAAGCAAACTCCGTGCTGAGGGGGGAGCCTGATGTGGGGCTTGATCTCAATCCTGAGATCGTGACCTGAGCCAAAATCAAGAGTTGGCTGCTTAACTGACTGAGCCACCCCGGTGCCCCTATTAGGTTCATTTAAAATTGAAAGTCTCTTTTTCCTTGATTCAGTAAGTCATCAGTTTTTGTCCTTCCTAAAATACAATAAAGTGGGGTTTATTTTTTGTTTTTGTTTTAAGATAGCATGAACAGGTAGATCTAGCAGTTAATGGCTAAGAATTCTAGGCATTTTATATTTCTAATTCTAAGAATGAAACGTGAGGGTGATTTGAGTTTAAAGAGGTTAATGCTAATTAAAAGTGAAGAAAGACAAGCTTGTAGACGAGCAGTATAAAAATGGAAAGTTAGTAACAATAAAGCATAACAAAATGAATAAAGCCGGGGTAGATTACTAGAAATACATGTTAGCTGAATATAATATGTTACATGATAGTTTATCTTAGGACCTACTTCTTGGCTAATAATAACTTGTCACTAATCCTAGAGGTACAAATTTACATTGTTAATAATTCAAAATAAAATTATTTTTAATCATAGTTCTGTATAGCCCATTTTTAAAAATCAAGGTAATAGCTTTGCTAAATGTGTCTCTTTGATGTTTAATGTATTCTCAAATTACTAGAATATATTTATTGATGTACTCTTAAAATAGCAATTAATTTTATATGTACTTCAAGAAAGAAAATAGATTTAAATATGCATTCATAGAATTTCTGAGTCAGACTAATGAATGTATGATGACAAGCATGAAGTATTTATAATAAAAAGGCCAAATTATTTTGTTAAGTGAGACTTTTCTGGTATATGTTATATCTTAAAAAAAATAAACACCTACCTTGATGCTCATTCCTTCTCCCTCATAAAATCCTCACAGTCTTTTAAAATAGGAGTTATGTAAGAAGATTGGCCCCAGAATTAATGTAAGTAAATGAGTCCTCCTCTGTCATTGACAGGAACAAGAACAGAAAGCTGAAGAAGAAAGAATACGTATGGAAAACATTTTGAGTGGAAACCCTCTCCTTAATCTCACTGGCCCATCCCAGCCTCAGGCCAACTTCAAAGTTAAAAGAAGGTACTTTACACTAACGAGTTGGATATATATTGCAGATTGTGCGTTTTATAGCAAAATATATTATGTAAAAGCCCCCTTTTCACTGATACCCTTCTCCATCAGATATGGGATTAACGGAAGAAGGAGAATGAAAGAAAACGTACTTACTTTTAGTAGATATTTATGATAACCAGCTGTGTGCCAGATACTATTCTAAGGACTAGGGATGGAGCAGTGCATTGAGCCATTGGCTCTCCAAAGCTTAACATTTTAGATGTATGTGTGAAGAGTCCCCAAGATCACCCTTCACATTCAGAGACTCACTAAAAGGACACCGAGGACTCCACATAGAGTTGTACTTGTGACTAACGTAGTAAAGATACACAGCCAGATAGATCATAGAGGAGAAAGCTACACTTCCTTATGCTCTGTCCCTCCTGTGAGGGGTCACCCAGCACATTCTTTCCCCCAGACTGAAATGTAGATCTGGACCAGTCTATGAACCTTAATGGTTATACCCCAATAGTTTCTTCTCCTTTGTTGCCATAAAATGCAAATACTAGAGTGGATGATTGCTAAGTGGTAACTGATGAGAGAGTATAAAATCCTTAAAAGCATGTAATCTAAACTACAGTAAACTGGTCGGTTATTATCATCTAGAAGTATCTATGCGAATCGGGGTGCTGCCTCTTTTAGACCTGAAAACATTAAATATGTAATTAAGCCTATGAATTCCTACTTTCTAACTCAAAGTTCCTCATACAGGAGAAGTAATAAGAATGTTTGTATGTTCTAAATAGGAATTGCCCTTCCTGCTGTAATAAAGCAAGATTACAACCTATTAAGAATTACTTTATTCTTTTGGGTGTAATTGCGTCAGATGCTATACATATTGAGCATCTTTCTGGGTAATGACTAAGCTTTGCAGTTCACTTGTTCTTGTCTCCTGATACAGACATATAAGAGCGTTCTGGTTTCTTTTTTCCCTTTAGGTGGGATGATGATGTTGTTTTCAAGAACTGTGCAAAAGGTGTAGATGATCAGAAGAAAGACAAAAGATTTGTAAATGATACGCTGCGATCTGAATTTCACAAAAAGTTCATGGAGAAATATATTAAATAGTACAGTTTTATGTGCTTAAAGACTGTAAAATGTAAACGATCATTCTCACTTTGTTTTTTCTGTTTTTCTCTTTCCCCATCTAAATTGTGTATAGGCTTCCCTAATTTTAAGTTCTGAAATAAGCTCTCCTTTATTGATACCTTATTTGATGAGGACTTGGGAATTGGTTTAACTAGTTTCCACCCTCTGAATATTTCCAGAAATATGTTTTCCTTTTAATATGGGAAAGGGAATCTTCTTGTAATAAATATTTTCAAAAATCGAAATAACTAAATCTGTGTCCCCCAATTTTTTGTTGAAATGTATGCAGCTTATAAAACATTGCATATTTTCTTTTGTGAATTGTATTTCTTTGTACATTAACTTCTCATTTCTTTGACATTAATTTAAGGTCAGTTAATGTGTGAGATAGTCACTGTGTGTTTTTAAGAGTGTGATGGAGGATGAAAGGCATTCAATTTTGGCCCACATGTTGGTATGGAAGAGTGTCATCAACCTTTCTGCTCCCTGAGTGTGTGTCTGAGGACGCATGGGGTATCCTTCACTTCTGCAAGCGCTCCTTTCTTTTTCTCTTGGCCCAAAACTGCTCCTTAAGCATGCCTAGGAAGCATGTGACACTTACCTGTGTTCTGGATACTCAACTGCCATGTCTCTTTTGAATGAGATAGAGTTTGCACACTGACATAACGTTAGATGCAGAGCCTAGGAAAGTTCAGCATCAAATAATACGTGAAATAAAACCTTTGGAAATAGGATTTTGTTTGTTTGTTTGTTATCTTGGATGATATGTATGTGGGAAGTGGGAGTATCTCTCTGCAGCTGGGAAATGAAGTTTTCCTAAGCCTGGACTGTGATTGGAGGGTGTCACTTTGGTAGAAAAATCGGGCCCAGAAATTGAAGCATTTACAGAGAGTCATAGGATCCCTCAGTTGTAACAGATACTGAGCTTGATACGGTTAAAAATAAAACTTCAAGCAAAAATAACATGCTTTTATCAGTGGCTATTTCTTTAAACCCTTTTCTCTAAGAGCTCATTCACTATTCCAGCACTTCCCCAGTGGAAGCTGGGACACAGATTATGTGGCGCCTGAGTCAGGAGTAAAGCTAGACATGGGGCCCAGGTCTTGACTCCACATGCATGCTCTGTATTGTTTCCAGTTGATCCATTTACACCAAATTTTGAATACTTCACCTAGTGGTTTTTAAAAGCCTTTAGTAATATTTAAAACCTTGTTTTTTAAATGTCTCCTTGGGGCACCTGGGTGGCTCAGTCGGTTAAGCGTCCAACTCTTGATCTCAGCTTGGGTCTTGGATCTCAGAGTCCTGAGTTGAAGCCATGGGTTGGGCTCCATGCTGGGCATGAGGTCTACTAAATTAAGTAATTAAAATAAACTCCAGCTTTACAGTTTATAAAGTGCCTCTACATTCATTTTCAAGTTTCTAAATAGCACCACTGTTCCATAGTTTGGAAGTCCTGGGTGCTTCCAAGTTAAGGACAATGAAACCTAGACCAAATGACTGGATCAAGGTTAATACATGAAGGGACATGTACAAGTGCCTTCAAACTACATGAAAATGTGATTCCAGATGTGACATTAGATTTCCAAAACTAGTTCTTGGGATTCTGGGTAAAGTCTTGAGGAAAAGAGGTGGCAGCACTTAATCATAGGATCTTTTCCTTTTTAGCATCTGAAAGGCGTACCACGTATCCAGGGGCCTGATGCAGGTGCACCATTATCCCACCCCTCCCTGTAAAAGGTGGACATTATTTTCCATTTTATAGGCAAGGAAACTGAACTTTGTACGAACTTTGAAAGCAAAGTCATAAACCTTTAAGGGGGTAGGGTTGAGAGTCAAGCCTACAACTCTTTATTCTAAAGCCCATCCTCTTAATTGGTAGGCTTCACTGCCTCTTCGTGTTACTTCGCTCTGACTTTGCTCACCTACGAAACCACAGCAATGAGATAATGGAGTTTGGTGGGCCCTGAGTAGTACAGCAAGGTGTACGTATCTGGCAGGCACATAGTCGGGATTTCATACCTGTTCTCTATACGAGCATATAGGGGCCGGCTAACACAAAGTCTTGTTTCGTTCTATCATAATGCTCTCATTTTGAATCAAGAGATTCCCTAACCCTCAGAGCTTGGGTTGGGCAATAGATACGGTGATTGCTTTTGCTTGGTGGCTAGGATTAGAAACCTAGTCACAGAAACGCAGGTGAAATAGAGGTTTATCTTAAGGATACTTAAAAAGGCACCTCCTCTGCCTAGCTCCGCCTATGCGTCTGTCAATTCACCTGCCCCACTTCCTCTGCAGGACTAGATTTCTGCACCAAAGTACTAAGGTCATTGCTTCATGCTCCTGGCTTCCCTGCCCGGTCTGGGTCCTGCCGGATCCCGGAAGCCCCAGCACCAGGGCGCAGGGCGGGGCTGGGCTTGTCTTTGGGAGGACGACTTGGATGAGACCACTCTGGAAGAGGAGAGAGGCTGGAGCGAGTGAAAGGGAGAGGAGCACAGCCGGCCCTTCTCGGGGCCCGCATGTGAAGCCAGCCCCTCTTCTCAGGGGCGAGGGCTGCGGAACATGGAAGGCACAGCACCAGCCTTGGGATCGCCCTTCCACAAATGCTGGGTGCCGTTGGATCTGTGCTACTGTGGAGGTGTGGCTCTCACACCTTCCTCTAAGTCACACTCCTGCGGAGACCCCTACTCCATCCGAGCGACTGGAATCTTTTTATATGGAAGCTCTTAGGTGTTTTTCGTTTTCCTGTTTGAAAGTGTCCTGCTCTCCCCTGGCCTAGATGTCAGGTGCCTTAGGAAGGGGAAGAGCGAGAGGCGTTCACCGCCACCCTCCCATCCCCACCAACCCCCCCAGGCAGGGGACCTTTTCATCCAGCCACATTTTCAAGCGGCCTCCTGAGAAAGAGGCAGAGAAATGGTCCTAAAGGCCCCAGGCTAATTGGAAGCCGCTTCCTGGGAGCTCAGCCATCTCTTTGTGCCAGAGTCTGAGGAAGGAGGGAAGAGGACGAATGGGGCTTTAATTCTTTTGACTTCAGAGGGAAGGGTTCTAATGTCATCCCGAGATTTCCTGAACACTCGGCGACCTTGAAAGTCTAACTCCCGGCCCCACAGGCCTATTTCCAGAGGGTGGGTTAAATAAGGGCTGGGACTTAGTCACGCTCTTGAAGAGTTTATTATGAAGACGCCACTTGGGGAAAAAAGCTGGTGATGAGGAGAAAAACGGGTAAGACCACTGGCCACGCTAGGGAAGCAGCCCTACACACTCACAGTGCCCTGCCCCCCGCCCCGCCACCTTTCCCCCTCTCCCCCCGCAGCCTTGGAAGAGCAGAGCCCCTGTCACCTCCCTGCTTAAACCCCCACAACAATCACAATAGAAAACAATCCCATTCGTGACAGCTACATAAAATGTAAACACATGGTCACAAACTTAAGAAAGGTGCAGGACGTCTCTGGAGAAAACTCCAACACCCTACTGTGGGGCAGCAGACAAGGTTAATAAATGTGGAGAAATACCTACTGCTGGATGGGAAGACGCAGTAGTGTGAAGCTGTCAGTTCTCCAAGCAAAAGAAACTATTATAAAATTCCAGGAGGTCAGGATTTTAAAATTCATTTTATTATTATTTTTTTTAATTGAAATAGAGTCAACAGGGGCGCCTGGATGTCTCAGTCAGTTAAGCGTCTGCCTTCCGCTCAGGTCATGGGCCAGGGTCCTGGGATGGAGCCCCGCATCGGGCTCCCTGCTCAGTGGGGAGGCTGCTTGTCCATCCCCCATGCTGGTGCTCTCTTTCTCTCACACTCTCAAATAAATAAAATCTTTCAAAAATATATAGTTGACACACAAGTTGGGTTTTTTTAAAATCGATGTTTTGACCAAATTATTGAAAACTTTTCTGTTAAAATGAATTTGTAAGAACATCCTGGATAAAACAAAAAAGTTTGTCAAGGAAGAAGACTGAGAAGGGTTTTCTTCACCCACTTTATTTTTCTTTTCTTCCCCCATTTTAAAACGGGTTATAAATGTACACAGATTAATGTGGTTCTGGCACCAGAAGAGATAGATGGGAAAAAATGGAACATAATGAAAAGTTAGAAACAGATGCAAGTACATAAAATACTCTCACATATAAGAAAATCTTTTAAAGGCAACGAAACAAGAAAGAAGAAAATCTTTGGGGGAAGAATGAACTGTCAGTAAATGGTGTCAGGAAACTTTACTAACCATTTGGTAGAAAATACGTTGCTACCGTCCAGCACAAGCGCAGGGTAAGACCCATGGGTTTAGCCAGTCAAGAAACACGAAGCCCTTTTTAGATGCGGAAAGTTCAGTACTTAGACAGGCAGAGAGAGGAATAACCAAAGGTGCTAGGTCCCTGTGGCCCTTGAGCAGAGCGACCCTGAAACCACGTGGGCACTAATCACAGGACACGTGGCACAGAGGATCCCGTGTCAGGGGGCAGCGAAGCTTCATAGCTTCCTGCTTGTACCCCAAGGGAGGGAGGCAGAAAGGCTCAAACCTCATCAGAATCAGGAGGCCGTGGGAAGCTGTCTCTGAATCCTTGGGAGCCAGTGAAGCCAGGAGCAGCTCCTCTCAAGTCCCCCATTTTCCCACATTCCAGGAAGATCCCAAGGCGTTCTGCCAAGATTCGTATCATATGCGTTCAAGTCCTGTTGGCCCCAGGTGGACTGTGCAGGTGCATCTCGAAGTCCCGGGTGCCCGCACAGAGCTGTTCCCCAACAGCACCCCACCCACGAGTCCTCCGGGGGCAATTCTCTATGTTTTAAAGGTTTAAAGGAAATGAACAAACAAATGTACTAGAGAAAACCATAGGCAAATGTGTGTTTAATTCTGAGCTGAGGGGCGCCTGGGTGGCTCAGTCGGTTAAGCGTCTGCCTTCGGCTCAGGTCATGATCCCAGGACGCTGGGATCGAGCCCCGCATCAGGCTCCCTGCTCAGTGGGAAGCCTGCTTCTCCCTCTCCCTCTGCCCCTCCCCCAGCTCATTCTCTCTCTCTCTCTCTAATAAATAAATAAAATCTTTAAAAAAAAATTCTGAGCTGAGATGAACTTTCTTTTTTCTTTTTTTTTTTTTTAAGAGAGAGCATACAAGCTCAGGGGGTGGGGGTTGTGCAGAGGGAGCAAGAGAGAATATTAGGCAGGCTCCAAGCCCCAGGCGGGGCTCGCTGTGAGGCTCCACACAGGAACCACAGGGGGCTAGATCTCATAACCCTGAGATCATGACCCGAGCAGAAATCAAGAGTCAGATGCTTAACCCACTGATCCACCCAGGCGCCCCAAGGGATGGCCTTTCTAAGCATGATATCAAAAGCAG